GATTTAAGATAAAGGTAAACTTCATCCCATGATGCTTTCAGCTCTGAACCTGTGGTAAATTCTGAGAAATCTGATTCCTGCTGTGCCAATAATCTGTTTACTGACCTCTCTGTTGGTCGGATCATCACTTGCCTCAGTAACATCTGACAGTTGTGAGGAGGCTGACAGTGACGTCTCTACACACCAGCTCATAGACACTGTGGGCTTACAGTTCTATGCATTTTAAATGAGTCTGTCTGCTCTGGTCTCTGGGGAGATGCACGCCGTCGGTTGTCGACATAGTCGGCGAGCAGTGCCAGTCAATAGACCCTTTTTTAGACCCACTCAGCAGATTGTATTAGAGGATGGAGGGTAGGTAAGCTTGATTGAATCTTAAATTCATTTTAGATCTATTGGCAATTTAAATACCAGTGTCAAATCGACTTGTTTATCGAAATAAAAACAAACTGCTGCTGCATACGTTACCTAAAAAAAAAAAAAAAAAAAAAAAAATATATATATATATACACACCATAGTGGTTACTGGTAGGAAATGTTTTGTTAATATCAGTCAATATAGCAGATGATATTGGATGTTTTATTGTGAACTCTAGTTTTGTCTGTTACTGAAATTGTTTTGTCTGTTGTCTGAAATACTTTTCCTGTCATCAATTGCTGAACAAATTTTATACTGTACATAATGCTTAGAGTCTAAATTCATGTAAGCATCACAGCATTGATTGATCGTCCAAAAACTAATTATTTTAGTGTTATTTAATGTATTGTATTTAAAAAAAAAAAATCAATATTCGACTTGGGAGATTATTGGATATATATATATATATATATATATATTTATTCCTGGATATATACAGTGTGTGTGCATATATATATATATATATATATATTGTTTAGCAGGAATGTGCATTTCTAATTTAAGCTTTATCTCCTTGAGTAAAAGCACTCTTTCATGCTTTAATTTCACACAGTAATGTAGCTTTAGTGAAGAGCCTATTCATTAATTTAACAATTTGGTGCATTTGATTGGATACAGAAATGCCCCAGGAGTTGCTGTTAACTGACTGAAGAAAATGGAGAAGACTTATTTCTCATCCCCTGTGGTCTTCAGAAGGTTCCTCTTAATTTTGACCTCCCCTCATTTCCATGAAATGACTTATTAATGAGGGGGTATTTTTAATACAGGCTGATTCAGAGCTTTTTCTGCCTTTGGTTCAGAAAGAGGCATGAGTGGGATGTTGCTTTCATTTGGAGCTCTCTTGTGTTCACTGACTTGTGTCCAGCCCATTGACCACAGTAAAGTCAAACTGACCATGACGGATGATCAAGAATAAATTGCCTATCAGACGCTCGCTCTAATCTCGAGTGAGACTGTCAAAAAAGCTCATGGATCGTAATACGTACGTCTCATTTATATGGTCTGTTTCTCCATTCAAAGGTAGCTGTATACCATTAAAATACATTTAAATTGTGTGTATATATATATATATATATATATATATATATATATATATATATATATATATATATATATATATATATATATATATATATTAGGGATGTCCCGATCAAGTTTTGTGTGCCTCCAGTCAAAGTAATTTAATAATTAACAACTTTAACAATGTGTGTGTGCACATGTGTGCCTTACATTATTATTCAAGACTTCATCTGCATATAATTACCATATTCATGTTGCAGTCAAGACACATTAAAATATACAATGGTGCATTAATAGTACTAGAAAGCCAATGATATAATCAGGCTTAACTTTTTCCCCGCCAGCATTTTCTCCCCAAAAAAATTTGCCAGTCAGAGCAATCATTTTTGGTCATATTCATAGCCACCAGAATATTCTGTATGAATATGTAAACAGTGAAAGTATCAAAAGAAAGAACAGAGCCTCTGATTTTAAACAAAAATAAATTATTCTAGCAATCATTCTTTTCTTTTCTTTTTTTAGCAATACTTGAATGTTGGTAAGTTTAATAATAAAAATAAAAAAAACATTTTGAACAAAAGCTGAGAAAATCACGCTTTTAACAAAGACTTAGTCCGGATCGGATTCAGAACGATGATCAAAACATAAATAGCTTACTTGTGTATAAGCAACTTCTATCCGCTCCTGGTTTACCCAGATGATCAGATCTTCTTCTTTGCATATTTATGGATCCAGAGATGCTTTACTATTTTAGAACAGCGCCCCCTACCGCATGAAACATGGATTGCCTTAAAACTTGTCAATGGCAGGGAAAGCGTTAATAACTGTAAAAACTGTCCATAAGCTACATAATATGTTAACTTCTGATTTAAGCACTACATACTACTCAACTCCATACTAAATGTAATGCATTAATACTTAGGGTTAGCTTAGTTAATTTGTTCAGATCTCTAACCCCAGCAAGAGTAATAACAAGCCTCGCAAGCACTACGAGTCATTTCAACACACTGCAGCCCAGTGGCGGTTCTAGCCCATTTCAACTGGGGGGGCCAAGCTGGGGCCAGTTGTACTGTTAGAGGGGCCAGTTACATTTAGACCTTATTGTTGTCCTATCATTTTCTGCACTACTGCAGGCATTAACAGGCAAAATACCGTGTTTATAATCATTCAACAATGTATTTGCATTTCCATTATATTTTTACATTTGCATTACATATTCAGTATTAGTCACAGTAACTGTAATAGACATGATGTCCTTCTTTCTCTTCATTTTGAGAACTATAGAGCAAAAGCAATGGGGACCAAGAAGCTTATTAATTCATTTACTGAAAATAACTGACTTTCTAGGTAACTACGTCTAACCGTTTACAGGGTTCCTGCACACTTTTTAAAAAAATTTAAGGCTTTTTAAGACCTAAAGAAATCAAAATTAATACCGTACATTAGGGGTGTGCAATATTGACAAAAATATATTTCAATATTTTCAACGTTTTGTTGATAATAATTAGATGATATTTTACTGATTGTGTTTTTTTGCTGGTGCCATGGCTGGTTTAGGCCTGTTGTTGACAGCTGTCTCACGAAGATATTCATATTTTTCATATTATATGGTCAGTTCACAGCAGTGACAGAAATATTTTTTTTAATTAAGGGGCAATATTTGCCACCTTAAATTGATTTCCAGGGGCATTTTCACCTATATATGGACATTTTTTCTAAACTTATTTAGAGTTATGCATCACCTTTTATGTCAAATACTAACATTCAAATTATACAATAATTATACTTATTTATACAATAATACTTAATTATACAATAATTATACAGTACCACTGCTACCAGTCAAATTAATTAATTCAATCAAAATCCATCTTTGCAGTGCAGAGGTGACACAGAAGTGGCATTCATATATTTACACTCCATTTACAATAGCATAAATAAAGCTATGAGATTTTTTTAAAATCAATATTTAAATATGAAATGATTTCTAATTTTAACGTTTTAATTAAAGGATATTTTAAATATGAAACTAAAACCGCCAGTAGGCGGCGGCAAGTCCCTGTAAGAGGGATTCATTAATTCAACCGATTTGTTCAAACGGCTGATTCATTCGGGAAAGAAGCAAGTGATTCGTTCAAAACGCGGATTTCAGACTAGTCAATAAATCATCGCTGTGTTGCATTGAGACTCTGCTACGGTTTCATTATGAAATTCTAGTCGGCGAAATAAAGGGAAAACAAACAATATTGACAATATTGTGTCTAAAAAGTTCTCCCAATGTTAACTTATTGTTAATTTAACTGTTGTATAACATAAATATCACAGTTGCAATTGTGCACGGGAAAACTGCACCCTTGCTGATGTGATATTCTAATATAAGAACATAATATGATATAAATATAAGACAAAAACTAATTTGGGGACATAGCCTACCTATGAACTGCACACAGCAGTGAAAGGACGATAGACAAATGCGATGTCACCTCACACAGTGCCTCGTACATAGTTAAAACAATGATTACAATATCATAATAGACAATACACATCGCACACCCCATACGCACATAAAGAATGAACTTACAACTGAACTGACATTTACCAACTTTCTTCTCTCCTCTCTCGCGTGCAGGAGACAGACGTTATTCTGCCGCGATTCCCGGGAATGTGATGCGAATTGTCACGTGAAAATGCAAATCCACAAAGATAGAATAATAAATAGAAAAAATAATACGCATACAACGATAACAACGATAGCAAAAAACAGTTTTGTAAAAAATTATTTCAAACTCCACTTTTAGGGGGGCCACAAGGGGGGCCAAGCTTTTTGTCACAGGGGCACTGGCCCCCCCTGGCCTCCCTCTAGAACCGCCACTGCTGCAGCCCACTTATGTTCACAAATGATAGAATACAGTATGTTAATAATTATTATCCCTTTCCCACTGTATAAATATCAATCCACACACCACACGGTCTCTTGGGCATCTACGCGCATCTCCACATATGCGTGATCTGCTGCCCAGTCTTGCTGTGCTTTGCCACTGCAGTGAAAGTAAACAGTGCTCAGTGTGCCGTCCTGCTGTTCTGTAAGGGCTCCATTATGACGGGACTCCCACTGCTTTTGCTCAGTATTCCACGGCTCCGAATCAGAGCATACAGTCGGATGGCCACAGCTGGGGCTGCTCACACTGATGCACTCACCATACATCACAGATAGGAGGTCTCTGTTCCCTGCTCAACATGCGTGATTGGCAGGGGAGTGCGGTGTGTTGTTGAGAGTGTCTGTGTGTCTTTTGGAGTTTGAGTGTGTGCGGAAAGAGCTGACAGCCTCAGACTCAAATTACTGTTTTTGAAGGCTATGTCTCTTTGAGAGCGTGATGGTCATTGTAATAGCTTGTGCTTACGTGATAGCTATCTTTTCTGGTGAAGAAAGCCACTTCTCTTTGGTGTCTTTGAATTTGTGTACATGTTGCTTGCATGTGAAAAAAAGATTGTGGCTTTGCTAATGAAAACCGTCGTGTGTGGTTTTTAAATGTCTTGGTTTTTTTGTGTGTGTTTTTTTTTTCAGATGAGGGGCCCTACACTAAACACTCCAATCCCTCCAGGCCACCAGATGGCGCTCTGGCCATTAGGAGACAGAGTATTCCAGGTACAAAGCACAATGTCTAACCTGTCACTTTATTTATTTGAAGGTGTGGGATAGTCTGATGCTCAAAAAAGTGACGTATAACCAAAATTGCTGTGTACGATTATCGATGGAGAAAATAATTACCGTTTTATGCACCTGGCCATGCAAATGTTTGATAAAAAGACTGCTTTAAAGTGTGCACCTAGATGCCATCATTTTCTTTTTAATTTATGTTTTAGTAATTTTGTGTGTTAGTCATTTTTCTTTTGGTTTTTAAATATTTCTATTTAGCTTTATTTTAGATTTAATAATTCTAATACTTAAACTTATTTTAATTTCAGTTAGTTGCCAAAACAACATTTCTAGTTTTCATTTTGGCTATTTTTTTAATCTAATATTTGTATTTTTATTTCAATGAATGAGATTTTGTTTTAATAGTTAGTTTTAATTAGCAATAACAACAGTTGTTACTAACTAACTTTACCTTAACTTTACACTTTTTGTTTTGTTATTCTTTTTCAACAAGATCTATACATTTATTTAGCAATTACTACCAGTCAAAAGTATGAACGCATTTGACTGAATTGACTTTTGTCATGATTATTGAAGCCTTCATACCTAGAGACTTCTGCTTAAATACGTTAAATGAGTTGTCTAGACATTCAATTGTGTATCCATATCACTTTTTTTACAAAAATAATATTTTAGTTAAAAAAATTAAATGGATGTCTTTGATTGGATACTGAGGCTGAATCTATTCAAAGAGATGTGTGATCTGAAGAAATATAATCTAGTATTGATTTGACATTTTCACAACAAGAATGAGAATGTTCAACTGGTAGTGTACATAATATGCCGATACATCAATTGATCTACGGCCAGTTTTACGGTTATTTGACAAGATGAACAAATTGCTTGCAGTACTCACTTGTGTTCACTTATGACTCGTTGCAGAAACCCAGCGCCCCCTTTGTGTTAGTTGAGATTCGTTTTGAAGCCGTGCTCATCTCAATGCTAGAGGTAAAAAAATTTCAATAAAAAAGTCTCGGAGGGTGTTGAAATAAATTCCCTGTATAATCTCTCAGTTCAGAGCTCTAAGCACATCAAACCCATCTTCAGAAGCGGTTAGCGTTTAGCATGACGGCTTTGGGGCCTCGTGCCCACGTTCTGATGTAGCTTCCCGCCGAAGGCACAGGGCTCTTTGGACTGCCGTATTAAACCATCCATCTGAAGACAGATTAGGGGAAGGATGTGACGCTCCTGCCGAGATCGGTGTGATGGTTTTGCTGGTGAAAGTATCAGAGATGGTGGCACGCCTCATAATGCTTCCTTAGAAAATCAGTTTCTGCCAAGAGTGGGATTAGAAGCTACTGTCACAAAGTACTTCACGTATAAGGCTGGAGGGATGCGACTGAATATTGTAATGGGAAATACACAAAGGTGATGAAGTTGCATCATATTTTTTTTTTTCGTTCTAGATTTGCTTCATTGGTCGTTCTTGACTTGCTCAAGTCCTGAGCCTTATGTAACCACAATTACTCGCTATCAAATTTGTAAGAGAAATTGATGATATTCTTTGGTACATTCTTTTTAATGGCCATTCACATTGTCCTTGAATGATTTAGTATTCCAGACGTGATGAATATGAGCCATTTATTTTAATCATTCAAGCACTACATCACTAACTGTACGTCTTGTTTTACTGAGAACGAATTAATGCTAATGAGTTGTTTGTATATAAAATTCAAAGTGAAGCTATGTGGTTCAATAGAGTGGAGTGGCAAAACGTTTTTCTTGCTTAGACTCTCCAAAGACTATAAATGCAATGTTAAGTGTAGATATCCTGAAAAGTGTTGCTTTTAAAAAATATATGTTATGATGGAGTGGTGGGAAATAAATTCATGTTGCGACTGATGATGAATTTTGTGCTGCACCCTCAACCTGAGACTATTCATGAATTCACTGATTCCTGGTTAGAATTTATTTGAAAATGTGGATTCAGTTCTTGAATTTGAATAGAGGTAGCAAACAGGATGCAGATTTGTAATTTGAATTTGAATCTAAGCAAGTAGAATTATAATACAGTAAATGTATGTATCTGCTGGAAGTAAAGCTTTTACCCATAATCCCTTGTTACACTAACAAGAAAAAATTCATTTCATTTTTCTTTTCAAAAGAAGTCTCTTGTGCTCATCATTACTCGAGTCTTCAGTGTCACATGATCCTTCAGAAATCATATGCTGATTTGCTGCTCAATAAACATTTGTTATTATAAGCAATGTTGAAAACAGTTGTTCTAATTCATATTTTTCAAAAGAAGAGTATTTATTTAAATTATTAATATTTTGTAACATTATAAATGCATTTACTGACACTTTCATTACATTTATTGCATCCTTAATCCTGAATTAAAGTATTAATTTCTTAAAAAAAATATTTACCCCAAACTTTTGAACAGTAGAGTACTGTACATGCAACATATGAATGTGTTAAATAGAAATTTTTTTGTTTTTGACAGTATTGAACAGTATTGAGAATTAAGTTAAGACATTCCTCTTGAGTAACTGTTGAATTTCCTTGAATTGTAAATTCCTCTCATTAGAATTCAATCGACAGTTCAACATCCTTTCAAGAAATCCAATTATACATTCTAGTTAATAAACAGAAAGTGAGCCAAAGGGTTAAATTCAGCATCGTTCCCAAACCTGCTAGTAAAAACCAGAAGCAAAACATAAAGATAGCTTGAAAAGCCTGATGATTTCATTTCAGATTCAACAAGTGTCCTCCCTCTCCCCAAGATGATATCTGTGTTTTTATGAGCCTCAAAACACTGAGAATCGCTGAAGTCTATCCACTCTCGCACCGCCACCGATCTCTCAGCACATTTAAATCTCCTTGATTAGTTCTCTGCAGTTGTTATTAATATGGATGAGGGGATTAGCAAATTGTTACCTGGAATTTTGCAAATGAATCCACCGGGGGTCGTGTTCTCTAACTGCTTATAATCACAATATGTTTTAAGCAACATACAGGGGAGCCGAGGCCTGCGGTGCAGGAGTGTCCCAAAGCTCATTGGGCTGCTGGTGAAGAGATACAAATGCATCATTCATGTATAACCTCAATTTCCTGCTACAACACTAGCTCTCGCTTACCCTGGATACACGTCCCCTGGCATGCACATCTCTTTTTAAATGCCATGTTAGCATTCATTGGGCAGGCTCGGGATGAGTGAGAGAGACAGGCTGCTGACAGATGAGCTCGCTGTGGATGGCATTGGGCGCTGGCTTGAAAGCTGAAAATGTTGTTGCATCAAAGTGATTCAGCACTTTCAGAGGCGCATGCAATGCAGGGTGCAGCTGCAGAGGCGTCTATTCATTTCACCTGAGGTCCGTTATCAAGCTGTCCGAGGTGGGAAAGTTTAATGGAGGTTGTGGCTCATTTTAAGGGCTGTTTGTGGTGCTTTCTTGTGAGTAGAGTTTCTTTGGGAAGTTTGGGCTGTTTTTGTTGCTGGGTGTTTCTTTGACTTTGGGCACTTTTATGTCCCTGGGGTTGTTTATTATTAGCCTGGCTCCGCCCTCCTACGTACTTCCACTCAATTTTCATTTTCTTTCAGTACTACGTCTGGGTTTGTGGTGTATTCTTTGGTTTTCTCTGGTCAATTTTTTACCGGTCCAATCAGCAAACAGAGGGAGTGGCTGAGAACGATGACATTGATGCCGTGCGCTAGTTTGAGTCGTCATACGTCACGACCAAACGTTAGCGATTGGTTATGGCAGATCCAGAGTGGCTCTGGGCAGATCCAATAGTTTTAAACTTCAACAGAGTACCCGCCTAGGAAGTTAACGCTTGTCAATGGAGCGAGGCCAGACTCTCTGTACAAATGAAGTGTACGAGAGTCTGGTGGGACCAGGCTAGTTTATTATTGCATCTAGCGGAAGGTCACATTAAAACTGTCTTCTTGGAAACCTTTTACCATGCAAAGATTACATTGCTACTTGTAAAATACTTCCTTTTTTTTACCTACATCAATACTTTCAATATAATACTAACAAAATCCATTATAACAATAGAAAACTACAATGATGTAAAAGAGAGGATAGAATAAACTACATGTTCAATATTTACTGTGTGAAAAATGTGTTTAAAAGTTTGGGGTTAGTAAGATTTTTTTCATGTTTTGAAAGAAACCACTTATTCTCGCCAAGGCTGCAAAAATCAGCAACATTGTGAAATTTAAAATAACGTTTTCTATATTTTGAAATGTAATTTATTCCTGTGATCATATGCTGATTTGATGCTCAAGACACATTTCGAATCAATGTTGGAAGCAGTTGTGCTGATAAAAAAAAATAATAATAATAATTGTATTTTTTCAGGATTCTTTAAATAGAAAGTGCAAAAGAAAATCACTTATTTGAAAAATAAATCGTTTGGAACATTATACTGTACATAACTGTCTTTTAATCAATTTAATGCGCCCTTGCTGAATGAATGCATCAATTTCTCTAAAAAGAATGACTGAGCCCAAACTTAGTGGGAGTACAAATACGCTAAATAAATGCTTTCTTGTTTACAGTAATTGTATTTATTTAGCATATAGTACATATTAGAAATTAACCTTAGCAAGACAGTAGCAAGTAGCTTGTAATGTGTACCAACAAATGTTTACAATGTAATTTCCACAATTATCATATGGGGAAAAAAAGACTATGGAAGTCAATGGGGCCCATCAACTGTTTGGAACTTGAGGGTGAGTAAATGATGACAGAATGTTCATTTTGGGGGGAAATTATCCCGTTAAGTCCACAGGGCCAAAAGTGACCATACTGTAGCTCTTAAAGAAACACCCTCTTAAAATACCCTTCCAAAGCAAGGTGTTTCTCTGAGGATGTAAAACTGCATGTCAGAAGCGGATGAGTAAAGAGATTGCGGGCAGATGTGCAGGCTAGCACTTCATACCTCAGCGCGCCTGTGCGAAATCTTCATGATAAATGCTCTGAAACTTTTTGTTCTCCCAGAAG